CGGGGGCCCGCAGCCGGGCCCAGGTGGGCCGGCCATGCTATTTCTAATTCACATGTTATTGGATACTTCTACTTTGGGCCACGATGTAACAGAAGCTGGGTACCTGGCTTAAACAACCAGTAAATGAAAGAATAGTTTTCATACACTGTAAAGAATAGAAGTTCTGATGAAAAATGTGATTTTCTTTTTTAAAGTGAAGGTCGGAGGCAGCAGGTGGCATCATGGTAGGAGTGCTTGGCTTCCATATGGCTGTACTGGTTCAAGTCCTGGACCTGGAAGCTTGTTTTCTCACTTTCCCTTTTTCTCTCACTCTCTGGTCAAATTAAAAAAAAATAATGATGATGATGAATAAAATTTAAAAAAAAAAAGTAAGATTCGGGCCAGTAGGTGGCATGGTTAAGGCACTAGACTCTCAACCTGGCCAACTGCTTGTTTGAGTCCAGGACCTGGTGGCTTGCTTTCTAATTTTCCCTTTCCCTTTCTCTCTGATCAAATAAAAAATAATAACAAAATTAAATAAATAAAATAATTCTAATAAATAAATAAGTAAGGGAGTTTGAACCATGTTAGTATGGAGTAAGGTTAGGGAAATTATTTTTGTTTTGTTTTTGGAAAGGTTTTTGCTATAGGGCACACGTGCTCGCCAGAAAGACAGAGAGAGACAGAGAAACAGAACGCGAGACATTTTTCCCCAGGGGAGATGACCATGCTGTGATCCCTTCTCCTCCATTCTCCTCTTGGGATCTTGGGCGGGCATGCATGCATGTGTGCCCAGCGTGAGTTTAAGCCACCAGGTCCAGGACTCAAACTGCGGTCGACTTCATGGGAGTCCAGCAACATAGCCATTACGCTAACTGCTGGTCCCTTGTTTTAATTTTTTTAAGAAAGGTTTTTGCTATAGGGTGCATGTGCTCACCAGAGAGATAGAGAGACAGAAAGCGAGAAATCACTCCCCGGAGGGGATGGCCACACTATAATCCCTTCTCCATTCTCTTTCCAGGATCTTGGGCATTCATGCCCATGTGCCTGGCATGAGTTTCAAGGTACCAGGTCTGGGACTTGAACCGTGACCGACTCCATGGGAGTCCAGTGATGTAACCAGAATGCCATCTGCTGGTCCCAACATTAGGAAGTTTGAATAGGGTTGATGGAGGGGAAACTGGAGATTATATGTGAGGTCAAGACTGGATATGAAAACTTAGAAGGCCATAATTCCTGTTGACTTTAAAGTGCTAGTTCTCTAGGATTCTCATTTCTTATCTAAAAAAAGTAGTGTCAAGGGAGGCTTTCCGTTTTGTTTTCTATCCCA